GATGCCTGAGTTGATAGATACCTGCTTACTGGCTGGTTGTAGCGAGAGATGTAACCCAACTGAATGAGGAATAAAGGTCACAACACGCTCTTTTTGTTTATGAGCCATAGAAACATTTATTATTAATTGTTATAAATTTTATGGTCTTAGCTAAATAATTCTGGAAAAAGAAAAGACTACCAATTCACATTAATGATCAAATATTTTGTGGATTAACAAGTAATGATAAAGTAACCAAGGTGTTAACTATTAAAAATTTATTTTATTCAATTGGCAGGATGAATTAACTTGGTGTCTTCAGCATCCAAGTTAGGAACCAGGAAACTGCACATGTAAGGTATTATTTTGTAAGCTAGATTGTCTGATATAATACGATATTTATTTATACACAATATTTTGTTCCAAATTATGCTTGATGACACCTTTCTATTTGTTAAAATCTTTTCAAATTGTAAGGTATCGCATTATTGCTATTTATTACAGCATTGAACGGATTTCAGAGACAGTACTTTGTTTAGAAAATTAATTACCCTTAGAATTAGTTGAGTACTAAAATAGACAGTTTCTAACCTATATTAATAAAAATAAAGTATATCGAGGAGAATATAAATATGCTAATTAACAATATAACTAAAAGCTTTTCGCATTTTAGGAGTCAATTATTTATAACCATACCTTCTGGCCTCTTGTTGCCCTGAACCAGCAGCAAGTAGATATTGTCTGGCTGCCTCCTCCTCCTCCGCAGTCATCATATCCTCATCACTTGATTCGTTCGAGTCATTATCATCAGCGTCCTGAATTATCATCGGAACATTTATCAAAGGTATCTGTGGTGGTCTATTCTTTGCTTCCACTTCACCCTCTGAGTCAGTCATTTTGAAACAAATTTTTTGAGAGTTGATTTCCGAAGTATAGCTTAACTAATGCTTAAATTCTTTTAATTTGCCTAAAAATGGATTTAACATTGTTAGTTTAAAGACATGTTCAAAAAGTAATATGCTATTCTGTTTTATTATGTATGAATATATTCAATTTATTCAACATTTTTAAGAATCATAACTGCTAGGTGGATATTCCATAAGGTTATTATAACATGTTTTAAACAAAAGTAAATGAATCA